GACTGATTCTTTTTCATGTATAAAAGTTTAGGTTTGTGATTTCTTTAAGATTCCTTTTAAGATTACCTTTCAAGATAAGTAATAAAATGATTGGTCCTTTCTTTGTAACTGCAAAATGCAGCCTTCCAGTAAAAGACTTGATGGAGAAGAATATCTTGCTTGCCTTCATGGTTAATCTATAACAAGTTGCTTGGGTAAAATGTATGTAGGTTCTTGGATTAATTTATTTCTTACCTGTAATATGTGAAATGTTTAATCATGTAAGGGATATGGAAAACATGTTGTTTTTGCTTTTTTTTTTTTGTTTTTCAAGACAGGGTTTCTCTGTAGCTTTGGTGCCTGTCCTGGAGCTAGCTCTTGTAGACCAGGCTGGCCTCAAACTCACAAAGATCCACCCGCCTCTGCCTCCCGAGTGCTGGGATTAAAGGCGTGCGCCACCACTGCCCGGCCTTGTTTTTGCTTTTTTATTGATTTTTATTGAGTTCTACATTTTTCTCTACTCCCCTCCCTGCCTCCCCTTCTCCTTCAACCCTCTCCCAAGGTTCCCAAAACATGCTATTTTTTACTCATGTTCATTGTAATCATTCACTTGAAAAACAGAATGTGACCACATTGTAATTTTTTTATTGCCTGAAAATTTTTGCTGGGATATGTAAGCTGTAAGGGAAAGAATAAAGATAGAGTTAAAATGGGTTAGAAGGAAACCATCAAGAGTGAGAGAGTAAGAAGGGGAAGATTAAGAATGAGAGAATTAGGAGGAGAACATCAAGAGAGTTAGAAGGAGAAGGAAAGTATCAAGAGAGACAGAGGGACAGTTCTGGATAGAGATAAGAATATGGAACACAGAATGAGGAATAGAGAATAAAGGATGAAGCATTCAAGAGAGTGTGTGTCTTTTCCCCTAACCCTCTCAGATAAAAACATCTAGTACTCAGGACTCTGTGGATTTCCCTTGGAGCCCTGCGCTGCAGGAGGCTGGCCTCCAGACAGCAGTACTGGTTAATCACACATCTCTAACATGTGCAAAGACCTAGATTCAATCCCTACAATGTGGCCTGAGCCCTGCATCTTATAAACCTTTCTCAAGGGAGAGAAATTTGTGAGTACTGCTGAAGGAGGTGGGGGTTATTTTCAAGTAGAATTTCAATAGAGGCTTCTTGAAGAAATAAGAGTTGGGAGTGAAAGAAAGAAAAAGGTGTAATGGGAGAGAAATGGGCAAAAACAGGGCTCTCCACACCTGGAGTGAAGCTGGCAGCCACCAAGTCTCCAGTGATTCTCCATCTTTGCCTCCAAAAGCACTGAGCCGACAAGTGGCCATGTGATCATGCCTGGATTTTTATATGGGTTCTGGATATTCGAATTTCACAGAAAGTTCTTTTACCCACTGAGGCATCTCTATAGCTCCTAATTTAGATTTCATTTATTTTTTAATTGGTGTATATTGATTTTTGTTTGGTGTAGGTTTACTATATTATTATTGGTGTATATCGCACATGGTGATAGGCTTGACAAAGAGTTTGTTTCAAGTATATCATGTAGTTTCCCCATTAACCCTGTCATACTTTATCTCCTTTGCCCCTTTCTCCCTTCTGTTGGTCCCTTTCCTTCTCCTTGTCTCTTTTTTTCTTTCATAGCATTAGAGGACATATTTAGCCCTTACTAAAGTATGTCTCATTTGAGGGGCAGTTAAATCCCTGATGGAGGAGGGTTATCTGTGAATTGTGTTATGTTCATTGGTCAATAAAGAGACTGCCTTGGCCCCTTGATAGGACAGAAAATTAGGTAGGCGGAGTAAACAGAACAAAATGCTGGGAAGAGGGCTATGAGCCAGACGCCATGGAGCCAGCCACCAGGTCAGACATGCTGAATCTTTCCCAGTAAGCCACACCTCGTGGTGTGATACAGATTAATAGAAATGGGTTAATATCAAGATATGAGAGTTAGTCAGTAACTAATTCTCTAGAGATAATGGGCCAGGCAGTGCTTAAATGAATACAATTTGTGTGTTATTATTTCTGGGGCTAAGCTAGCTGTGCGGGAGCCGGGCAGGATGAAAAGCAGGCCTGCCCGCAGCTCCTTTCTACAAATCCCCACATTTTTAGGCATGGATCCAATATCTATTAACTATCTTGGAAAATTTCACTGGGTCTTATTTTTATTATAGCTATAAACATCCCACAGGGGCCCAGGTGTGATACAGAGCAATAAAGTACTACAAATTGCAAACATGCGTGATTCTTTTTAAATGAGATTATCTCCTGATATGCCTACCGTGGGTTGAAAACATCATCCACAGGAAAGTGTATTTAGTATGCTTAATGTTGACCACCACGGTCTACCCTATCACACACATGCTTAGAACCCTTCCACTAGCCTGCAGTTTGCTAAACCATCTAACCCAGCATCTATTTTATAAGGAAGCACTGAGTATCTCTCACACATGTATATATGGGTATTTTGTTGGCACAATGCTACGCTAAATGTAAACTTCAATATCCCAAAATGCTTGCAGTGTACCATATTCAGGCAGGCGTGTCCAGCCTTTTCCACTGCAACACAATCTTCTTCAAAATTCATGCTCATGAGCCATTCATGTGGGTTTTTTAAATCACAAAGATATCTCATAATGTTTTAACTAAGCTTTGGCTCTTATGTTGGGCTATGTTCATAGCCATCCTCAGCTACAGGCTGGACACCTGCTAGAGTGTTGGTTGTATATGCACATGGCTGATCTGAAGCTACAGATGGTGGTGGCTGTCCTATATTATGGGACAGAGAGCAACTAATATTGCTGGTCTGGGGGAAAAATAAAACAAATCCCCGAACTCCATGTATGGTCTCTCTTTAGTGTGTATAGTTTTGTATGCACCCTTGTGAGTTGAGGCCCTCTAACAGACAGTTCAGAACTTCTAAGGCATGGAGTGGGCAAATGTGGACTGCAGCCCAGCCATCTTCCTCCTCAGCACCCTGCCCCACCCGACTGCCGCGTGCGTCCCACCATCTTCCGCATGCGTCCCACCCATCTGGCGCATGCGTCCCACCCATCGTCTGCCGCACGTGTCTTATGTCTCATTCCGCTGACAGATTGTTTCAGTGGTAGCTGTACTTAGCACAAGACTAGAAGCTGTGGAACATGCTTGTCTTCAAAGAACTTCTGATCACCCGTCCAGAAACTGGCTAAAATGTAAACCAGGCCCTGTGTCAGTACCCTGGTCCAGGGAAGAGGGAGAAACCTCAATCTACAAAAAGCAAAATACACTTCTTCATGTTGCAGTTGTGAAACTCAGCTAGTGAATGTTTGATAAGAGGTGAAATGTAAGGGGAGGAGTTGTGTATGATCCTGTCTAGCATGGCAGGATAACAGGAATGTGAGAGAGGAAGATGTTGGAGGTCTGTTCAAGTCCTCAAATAACAGCAGCCATTACCCTCCCGGTTCCAATAGCCTGATGTTGTCCATTGCAATGTGAACTCTCCATTCTGCAGTCATCCCTTCCTCAGGGAAAATGGCAGAACTGATTGTAGGGGGTCTGGCTTTCTTCCTTAGCTAGAACAGCTGGGGCATACACAACTTGTTTGTTGCCAAGTTTCTATGTGGGTTCTGTGTAGAAACCTTGCTGGAGTGGCTGCTTTCTTCCTGTCGACTGTGTGCTTCTCAGGTCTCTGGGCGATTAGATTAATTAAACGATTAACATTAACAGCAAGGATCTTCCTTTCCTTATTTCACGGTAGCAGCAAGTTTGCTTGTTTGAACTTCTCTTAATTTCTCTGCTGAGCAAGCAACATGGATCTAAGCGTAAGTGGGGTGTTTTAAGAAGGAGTAGCAGCTTAAACCAGAATACCCACCATTGCCATTTCTGTTTGAAGTCAAGTGTATTCCTGTGTGTTTTCACCTAGCTACAATGTGTTGTGTTGATGCAGTTCTGTGATCTGATCTTCCCCACCCCATCCCTGTGCCATGATACTGCCAACGCTCTCCATGTTCCTGTAGATGCCACGATTATCATTGACTATCCAACCTTCCACAGGACATATGCTGCCAGGCCTGGGGGCAGCCACTTCCCTGGTTTTGACCAGAGCCCACTTCTCACCTTATCTGTCTAGATGGAATTGCCAGAGACGTAGAATAAGTCTTTGAAGCAACTGCCTTTTGCAAGATGGCCTAAGCACACTATCCCAGCTGCATTAGACATGTACAGGGCAGAAAGACTTCACTTAGGTTCTAAAAGGCCAGGCATGGGAGGGCCATAGGCAATGATCCTTCCTGTGGCAAGACAAGAACAGAGCAACCATTTATAATCAAGAGACAGAACATTTATTTCCAGGCTAACATCCACGCAGGCCTCTCTTTTCTGTCCCCCAGTACTAGAATGGCATTAAAAGGGGGCAGTGCAGCTTGTGTGCCTTAGACCATCAGTTGACATCCCTTACTTGTGATTCTAAGCATTGGTGGCTGATACCAAGAGTAAGGGGGAGGAGGGGTCCTGTCAACTTTAGGCCTCAGGTGAACCTAATGTGCTGATCCCCTATCTCTTGGCAACAAGGATGAAGCAAGTTCATAAAGCGAAGGGGAGGAGGGAAGAAAGACTTGAGGGTAATGGTGCAGGTAGCTGCAGGCAGAGGAAAAGCCTTGGCCTAAGAGAAGTCTATTCATTACATGCAGCATGGGAGAGCACGATGGCATTCAAGTGGGGCACGAAAGAAGAGTTTGCCTTGGCTGTGCATATACAACTGGGGCAGTTCTGGAGTCCTTTCTTTCTGGGACCCTGGGGACCCATTAGCTACTCAAGGGCTGGAGGTGGGACTTGGAGGTGGTGCCTGCAGGAAGCTGGCCTGCGGACAATTGTGGAGCCCAGGGGAGGCAAAATTTGGAGGCAGGGATCACTTGGTGAGCAGCGGGGCGGAGTGGGGGGCTCCGAAAGAGCAAGGAGGCGTGGCCTAGGTAGCGGTGTCGCTGGAGACGGACTCAGGCAGGCCTGGAGGGCACGAAGGGGGCGGGGACCTTGACGGGCGGGGCTTTGGTGGAGGCGGGGCTGGATGGAGCGTGTGTGTCTTTCTGCTGCTGCAGCTCCTTCAGCACCCTGAAAACTCCCTCCCTGTCCCAGAGCTGTAGCACGCACAGGCCTCACCATGCTCCTGCTGCTGGGATTGTGCCTGGGGTTGCCCCTCTTCTCGGAGTCCCAGGAAGAGGCTCGGAGTTGGGATGACGCCTCGGAGCAAGTAAGTAGGAAAGCTGTGGCAGTTTGCGGCTCTGTCCCTTCCCTCTGTCTCCCTGGGCCGTGCGACTTCTGGACAGGCGGGAACTGACCCGTGGGATGCAAGGAAGGGAGGCGTCATCTACCTCGGTCTGCACCATCCCTTTTTCCAGGCTTTTCCAGGGAAGCTTTCCCATCTGTTGGTCACTTGCACCTCTTCTGAGGGCTCTTTAGCGCTTGCCCCATACCAGTTTGCCTCAGAGTTGTGCATGGAACTTCAAAGTCCTGCAGAATCAAGTGTTTTTGTTGGCTGCCGCTGCCTACCAGATTCCCATCCGTCCTTGAAACTTTCTAAGACGGACTCCCACCCAGAAGTTCATTGCAAGTTTTCACCTTTGACGTGTGAGGTGGTTAGCTGTTAGTGCGCATCCAGGGAGAAAAGAACTGATTAAAAGTCGTGAACTCCCGGAAACCTCAACTCTCTCCATCTAAACATGGGAGAACTCAATTTTCCCTCCGGTTCTTATCAATTGTGAGCAGTTTACAGGCAGTCCCGTGATTAAGTAAGTATCAAGAACTGAAGCAGATCTGGTACTCTCTACACGCCTCAGCGTTTGTGTTTTAATCAGTCGAACCTCACAGGTGACCACAGCCCCGGCAATGAAAAGGTTCAGCCCAGTCCTGACCACTGGAAAGGTTCTATAAAATCTATTAAACAGATTCGCCCTAACATCCCCGTGAAGATCCTGTAGATGAAGTGGATCTTGATGCTGACACAATCATTTAAAGGACGAGCTGTTTAGTTCAAAGTGTGTTTTCATGGGATGAGGAAGATCTCTTCCCAGCCTTTGTTTGGAAATTAGACTTGGGAGACAGAATCCACCCCTTATCGGTGGTTATTTTCATGAGGGGTCCATTTTAAGAAGGCGTTTATCTGTAAGGTAGGAAATGTGGGGTTCCCTTTAGGAGCTAGCAAGATAGCCAGCAATGCCCCAAGAGCTTTGGTGGTGGCGTAGGGGAAATGTAGGCTTTTCACCCAGAGAGAGGCTGCTCCCTACTCTGCGGCTGTGTGACCTGGGCAACCTCTAGTTTTGAATGCAACAGCTTTTCTCTCCAAGGCAAGCTGTTCCATGGAGCTAGGGCTGGACTGGCTCTTCGTATTAGCCCAGGCTGGTTTGAATTTACAGTTTTCCAGCCTGAATCTTCCAAACGCTGGAATTACAGGTGTGTACCATGTCTGGTTGGCAATTTCTGTTGCGCATACTATTAAGGATTTAACTAGCCTGTATTAAGGACCTGGCATCCAGTAGGCACTCCATAAATGGGAGGTGTTTTAGTGGTTAACACTTGTCTGCCTGGATTTGAATCCTAGACTGCCAGCAGGGTTGGCACTTGACACAGCGTCTGCTGAGAGGCTTGTACGGCTGAATTGCTAAGGGAAGGAATTCAGGGTAAAGATCTTGAAGCTTGGAGAGGGTGTAAGGAGAAAGGAGTGTGGGAAGACCTGAAACAAAGAATCGTTTTGAGGCCTAGAGATGGATTCAAGCCATGCCTTCTCCGTAACTGCAAGTGAGCCTAACACTTTCTAAACTTTCCTTCTTAGAAAAACATGGATTTGGCTCATTTTGGTGGTTTCCTGTTGTCTTCGGTCCATGGCAATATTTTTCTTGAACATGACCAAATCAGACAAAAATAAAATAAAATAAAAAAAATCTGCGGTGGAAATTTGGATTTCTACATTCTATTCACACCGTATTTTAAATTTAGTATTTGGGTGTGTGTGTGTGCGCATGTTGCTAAGTGGAAGTGACCCACATAGGCTGAGAATGTGGCCTAGTGGTAGAGTGCCAGCCTGGGACAAATGAGGCCTCTGGGTTCCATCCCAAGAACTAAAAGATTCTGAAGAATTGATGCAGTAATATCTTAGACTAGAATCTGAGGCTGTAGTCATTGTTCTAGTCTTAATAATTATAACCTTTGAAGCTATGTGTAAACGTAGTTTGTAAAATGTAATGAGGGATCTGGGGAAGACAACTGGGTCGGAGAAAAAGCTTATTTATAAGCATGAGGACCTACCTGAGTTCAATCCCCAAACCCTACACAACAAACTACAAACAAACAAAAGGAGACAGTCATGGAAGCCAATTTGTAATCCTAGTGATAGGGAGGTGGAGACAGGCAGGTCCCTGGGACTTGTGGTCAGATAGCCTAACTTGCTTAGCAAGTTCCAGGCCAGGGAACTGAGGAATGACACCCTTTCACGCACAGATGATGAGTTCACACACACACACACACACACACACACACACATGCGTGCGCGCGCGCGGACATGTAAATTTGATGGACGCTGTAATACAACTGGACATGTTTATCAACTTCCATACCAGGTCTGTTCATTTACCTGTGACTAGAAAAAGTACTGCTTTATTTAAAGCAAAAAGAGGCAATGGAATATTATGGTTAAAAATATTCCGAGTGGAAGCAGACTATGTGGGGTTCAAATCTGGGCCCCACTGTTTCCTGACTGTGTATTCTTGGGCAATGACCTTAACTCTTTGAATTTCATTTTCATCACATCAGTGTAGGGCTCTTATTAGCTCCTAGCTCACAGACACAGATGAGTCTGTGGGGAAGGAAGATAATGCTGAAGAACTCCTTTAAGAGAAGGAATATGAAATGATGACTACAAATGAGATGCTAAAGTAGCCTTTCATTTGATAAACGTGTAACAAATCGCACATTTTTTTTTTTTTTTTTTTTTTTTGTCGACAGGACAATCACCCTAAATGTCCAGCCTCAGGGGCTTGTTACAAGTCAAGGTTTCCCAAACCTCTATCAGTGTCTAAATAATACGATATAAAACAGTGCTTACCTCATATTCCCAAGGCGGTGTTTGATGCCAAGCATCGGATAATAATGATAGCTATAATATCAACCATAAACATTTGTATTTATTAGTTTCACATTTATTTGTGCATCCCTGTGTGTGTGTGTATCAGATATCAATTTTCTTCCAGGGACCAAATTCTGTGGAGCCATTTCATCAGCCTAGTAATAAATATTTTAAACAGTAATAAATATATTCATTCTATGCTGCTGAGGGTTTTGTGAATATGGAGCCAGTCCAGGCAAAGCATTTTCATAGAGTAAGCAGTAAGATATTGTGTGGTGTGGTGTTTGTGTGTGTGTGTGTGTGTGTGTGTGTGTGTAGTCTAGTTAAACCCACAGATGCCACACCAAGGTCTCAAAGAATCTGATCTACAAAGAACAGCCATACAGGATAGGCCATCAGGAGGAGCTGGGCCCTCAGGCTTGTATAGGCAGATCACAGAGCTCAGGACTGCTGAGTCCCAAAGCTAGGGCTCCTCATGAAACTTCCAGACTGATAATTTTGTCCAATGCTTCTGACTCAGATTCTGCTCAGCACATGCTGGTCTGAAATATCCATCCTGGTGATCCGTTTCCAAACTTCCCAAAGAGTAAATGCCTCATAAAGTTGTACCCCATTGCCATGTTTTCACATATGAATACAGACAGTTATTTCTTTTAGCTTTCTAGTAAGTGAAGCCAGTACAAGAGCAGCAGGCTGCTGGCCTCTCCATAATGCCTCCCTTATGTATGGGGTGTGGTTTCTGGGATGGAACAGCTGGACTGAATGGGGAAAGAGATGCTGTGGGAGGCATTCCAGAAATGTGCTCACTCCCAAATCAGCCATATCTCATGTCTTGAGGGAGGAAGGGAAGGGTGGGGGCTGCCTGAGGCTGGGCGATGAATTGTATGCGACTTTGTGTTCCTAACTAGTGTTTTCTCAAATTGTGGGTGCTCAGACGTAAAGAACTTTTGTTTAACCTGCAGTGTGAAGTTAGTCAGCAGGGCCAGCAAAGCGGCTGTCTGAAAGGCTGGTTCAGCAGAAAGAAGGACAGGATGGCCTGAGAGTTCTAGGGAGCTGGGAAGTAAAGATGGGCGTGTCCTAAACCACTCGTTCTTTTGTTTTTCTTTCTCTTTCTTGTCTTCTCTTCTGTGTGTGTACAAGTGTATGTAGGTGCACAAGCTGCTGTTTGCACATGCGTATGGAGGCCAAAGGAAATTGTGGGTATTGTTCCTCGGTGTGCAATGTCTAACTTTTTTTTATTTTTAAAGATTTAATTATTTTTACCTTGTCTGTGTGACTGTGTGCTTAAGTGTATATATGTACACCAGGTACCCTTGGAAAACAGAAATGTAAACTCTCTCTCTCTCTCTCTCTCTCTCTCTCTCTTTCTCTCTCTTCTTTTCTTCTCTTTTTCACTCCCCCAACACTTCCAGAGTCAGACTTACTGAACTCAACCAGGGATAAAAGCCACATCAAGTGACTTTCCAATACCCAACTTCAATTTTGTTCTGGACTCTATGGCAGATCTTTAAGGCAGTGGTTGCTCTGCTGATAGGTCTGGCTTTTAGTGTTCTGGAGACACTCAGAAGATGGAGCTGGTGGATGGATCAGTTTCTTGTCCTTGTCCCACTAGGAAGGTGACTTTAGTATATGCTCAAGATGCCTGCTGAAGTTGGCCTTAATGACTCATCTCTCACACGTGGGACCTAGATTCAGGGACCTTGGGATAGAACTCAAAAGGGAGAGTAGAGAATAGGATCTTCAGGTTGAACCCCAATTTCTGACCCTACGTTTTTATTAATCATGCTTAATTTGATGTCCAACATGGGGCTGTAGTCACATTAGTATGTTTTCAAGGTCAAACAAAGATATAATTTAGATAGATAGGCCATCTTCAAACACTTCAGAGATCTACCCAATATGGCATTTAAGATGTTTTAATATCCTTGGTTCTTCTTGTTTATGACAATGAGACATGTATGTCCTGGCAGCACCAATCTACTTCAGAGAAGATAATGGGCATTGCAGAAACCCATATGAAGTTTACTTTCTTTGTGGCAAAAGTAAGCCACTGGGCAAGAAAATGCCCCAGCCTTGACTGCTTACAGTATACTGTCCTAATTAGATAAGCAGGACACAAAATATGCTGTTTC